TTCTGCAAATAGAACCACTGGGTGTCACAGCTGGTGGTGGCAAGTGTTGTAAGCCCAAGGTCCTGTGAGGGTAGGGCTGCAGAAGAGACCATTCACAAAATAATTATTAGATACCCATTTGTACTAGTCTCTGAGTTTAGAAAAATAATGGGCAGTGTTTGCCTTCTAGGACCTACATGTTAGGAGTAGGAAACATACGTGCACCCACATGTGTGCACACACACTGCACATTTCTTGAGCATCTCAGACTCTGTCAGGTGCTTTTCAAGTCTTATCTCTAATTCCCCAAGATTAAGAACTTGTTCCAGTCCGGGTGGCAGAGCCAGGACTAAAACTCAGACCTGTTTGCCTCTAAGACCACGCTCTTTCCTTAACACCATCCAGCCCTTAACACCGTCTGGCCCCTCTCAAACAGTTTCCCACACAAAGTGAAAGGCTCACCCACAGGGTTGGCTGTAAACCAAAGCCACCAGGAACACACGAGGCAGAGCTAACTCTGATGGGAAAAGTCAGGAGGGCATCACAGAGGTGGTGTTTATTTTAGGGTCAATCCGATGGGCTTGATGGGAAAGGAATTCCAGGAAGGAAGTGGCATGTCCTGATGCACAGAGCTTTGCAAATGCAGGGAAGAGCCTTCTGTGATGAATAGCAGGTAGCCTAGAGCAGTGGGGCGTGTGGGGGTGTGAAGAGGGATGTGACCAGGGCTAAGGCAGAGAGGGTGGCTGAGGGAAGGATCATAAAGAGCCTCCCACGTTCCGTTAAGATGTTGAGATGTGTTCTCACAGGCAATGGGAGCCATCAAAGGGGCTTGGACAATTATCTGGTGCTAAATGTAAATGGTCATTTTTCCCCCAGGAGGGGATGTATATTCATCTTTTAGAAGATTATACAGCTCAGTGCCTCCTTGGAAAAGAAAAACAATCATCTCTCCAAACATATGGGTGCTAAGTCTGTCCCCTTCATTTTATTCTGCACCATATGTCACCCTGAATGCTTAGAAGATGAGTAGATGGGTTGACTTCACAGATCAAAACTTAGTAAGAAATATCTTCATCTGTTATTTTAAACTTTTTCCCACTCACTACAGCCAAAGCCCAATTTACTGATCTAATAAAGGTGGCAACTTGTAAAGTACTTAGACACGCCTGGCACACACAGGGAGTTAATTTTCACACACGCGCACACATTCCGCACCAGGTTCTTATTAATGTCATTTCAGCCCCACCTCGGCTAGACCTGAAGGATACAGACAGACATATGTGCGTACTGTACAGTGGAGACAATGCACTACAAAAATTAGCTGTTACCCCAAGTGGAGGTATGGTATTATTTTAAAAACAAAGGTCATAGGTTTTCAGAAACTAGAATTTACTTCCACACCAGGCTTTCTAAATAAACTTGCTGTAAACTTTTACAAGAACTCCTTTCAAAGACCCTCCTCAGGGGTTTATATATTACTCATACATCAAGGCTGTCCCCACTAAGCGAAACACATATCTGGATGAAGACTTGAATCATTTCATTGTTTCTAAGTGCCTGGCTGTTTGAGGTTGATAGATACCTAGACCCTGTCTGAGACTCTGTGGCTTTATCAGATACTATAGGTCTGGTGCACAAAATGCAAGCATGGGGGTGGGAGGGTGTATGTGTGGGCAGGGGTAGCGGGGTCCCTCAGCCTGGCCTGCACCCTCTCCAATCCGGGACCCCTCGGGGGATGTCCGACTGCTGGTTTAGGCCCGATCCCTGTGGGATCTCTCTCGCAATCTGGGACTGCTGGCTCCTAAGCACTCACAGGCCTGTCTGCTGATCACCCCTAACCCCTCTGCCTGTCTGCCTGCCTGATCACCCCTAACTGCCTCTGCCTGCCTGCCTGATGTCCCTAACTGCTCCCCTGCCGGCCTGATCACGCCTAACTGCTCTGCCTGCCTGCCTGATTGCCCCTGACCACCTCTGCCTCGGCCCCGCCACCATGGCTTTGTCCAGAAGGATGTAAGGAAGGACGTCTAGAAGACGTCCAGTCTATCTGGTCTAATTAGCATATTACCCTTTTATTTGTATAGATTTGCCATTAATCAGATGCAACCTCACAGAGAAACCTAACTATAGAAGGTTAATGACCATGTTAATGACAGTGCTTCCAGGCACAGTGAAGCGAATGGTGTGCCCAGGGCCACAGAGATCACAGGGACTGAGCGGGCTTTAAGCTCTCAGTGTCTGACATCTCAGGCTGTTTTCTTTCCACTACACTGAGTGCCTAGGTCAGCGGTTCTCAACCTGTGGGTCTCGACCCCTTTGGCAGTCGAACGACCCTTTCACAGGGATCGCCTAAGACCATCCTGCATATCAGATATTTACGTTACGATTCATAACAGTAGCAACATTACAGTTATGAAATAGCAATGAAAATAATTTTATGGTTGGGTCACAACATGAGGAACTGTGTTTAAAGGTCCAGAAGGTTGAGAACCACTGGCCTACGTAATATGACTTAGTTCGCAGATTCTGAAGCAGAGTCTAAATGACCAGTCCTTCAATATCTACAACCCTGTCACAGTTATCAAAGGAAAAAGGAATGAGTACAAAGAACATTCAATGATTTGCCCTGGACTCAGCATGTGAAGCAAACTGATAACGTAGCCCCCAAAGCAAACACTAGCATGCATTCCCGCAGAGTGGAGTCATGCTTAGCTCACATTCTGGAAGGTTACAACCAGGAGGAGCTTTAAGTGCCATCTGGGCCATCTCTCCTCCTTTGGGCGGTAAATTTCCACATTAAGAGAATGCGAGAAGAAAAACCAGACCGGAGTTCTCTAGTTTCAGTAATCGGGTGGTTTGCTTACATGTCCACACTGTTATCTACGCTTGCTCTGAGAGCTAGCTCACTTGGTAAAAAAATGTAAGCTTCCCAGAGCAGGAGCTGAAAGGTAAACATCCGTGCCTGTTAGCAGGGGTGAAGGCTCTGGTTTGAGTAGCCAAGGAAACTAGGACTTTCTCACCAAGGGTCAAGCTTTGAGTGCTTCAATGTCGCCACCTTGTGGAAACTGTCAATACTACATCAAAATCAACACTGACCATCTATTGGAGAGTCGAGACAGATCCAACAGTGAAATAAACTCTATTACAGGATACGAAAATCGCAAAGTAACCTGAAAATTCCTTGGTCATACATGACAGTGAGATGTGATAATGATAACCTTGAGGCCATGCTGGATCCCAAAAGTCTTCTAATTAATAATGGAAAGATTAACTCACAGGCAGCTTAATTTTAGGGATAGGCATAGGTTATTGTAGGTTTACAAAAAACTAGAAACACAAAACGATGCCCTACAGCTAACGTGATCATTTCATAGCAGTCCATCAACCTTCCCAGCCATTCTAGGTGGCAGGAACTTGTTAGGTTAGAAGGATTTGGTGGCTCCTGTCATCCAAATTTTCACTACAGGATGGTTCTAAAGTAACAGGCAAAAAGCCAAAGCACCTCTATGTCTAAACTTTTAATTAACTCGAAGAACATTTCTAGTCAGACCAGTAGAGCTAAGCAAAAGTAAATTAATTTTGAAATAAATTCCAGTTGTGCTATTTCAATGCAGCAATGAGATAATGGGCACGATGGTGCGGCACAGTGGCTAAGGAGCAGGGCTCTGGAGCTGCTGCACCTGGGCTCTGCCTCTTAACTACTACAGGGCCTTGGGCAAGTTAAGTAACTTTCCCGGGCCTCAGTTTACTCATCTACAAAATGGGGATTGTGATATCACCTACCTCAAAGGATTGCTATGAAGACAGAAGAAGGTAATATACATAAAGCACCTAGCACAGGGAGAATGAACTATTATTCAATTATGAAACTATTGACTCAACCATGGGTTCTTGATCACTGTTCATGGAAATGAGTGGCACAAGTGTTACGCCTGATTTTTACTTTCAATCATTTTGGCTGCTAGAATGCTAGAAGAGGGAAAGATCTTGGAAAACTTCTGTGCAAGTGAGGGGGACAGATTAAGTCTCAGGCAAGTGGAACACACAGATGCATCTTTGGTTCACACAGAGATCGGGGAGTAGAGCCAAGAACAAGAGGAGGCCTAGGACTGCACACGGTCACAGCGCGGCTCAGGCAGCAGCAGCTCATTACAGAGAGGGTGGGTTTGTTCTGTCGCCCATGAATCCATGTGCTCTTCAATTCAGCAATATCTATACGCTCCCAGATGTATAATGCACTGTGCCTTTGGCAGTGCACAAGCCAGACAACGTCCTTGCTTCCTGGAGCTTATTCTTGCAAGCAGGAGGGGTGGGGAGACCATAAAATCTAAACAAATAGTCAGGGTAATTTGAAACAGTGATAAGGTTTCAGAGGAACATGAGACGGGGTGATGGAGAGGACAGGGTAAGGGGCAAAGCTACATAACCTACTTCAAGTTGAGCGGTCCAGGTGGGCTCCTGCGAAGAGATGCCCGCTGAGCAACAAGAAGGAACCGGCCATGCAAAGATATGAGGAACCGAATCCAGGCAGAGAAACAGAGGGTGCAAGGGCACTGTGGCAGGACAGAGCTTGATGAGACGGAGGACTGGGAGGAACAGCTACCGCAGGGGAAGCAGGGGGTGGGAGGGTAGAGAACCGTGCGATCGAAGAGTCAGGTAAGAGCCAGATCCCGTAGGACCAGGTAGGCCATGCTGAGGAGGCTGGACTCCACCCTGAGTGCCAGGTTTTGATAAAAGAACTGACACCGCGTGGTTTGTTGTCAAGTGTCACTCTGGCTGCAGGTGGAGCCTTGCTAGAGCCTCCCAGTGAGGACTGCCAACCCTGGACCATGGCCCATGTCACGTGATTCTTCCCCGAAGGTTCCCTTCTGCACCTCACAGCCTTGGACGTGGACCGCAGAAAGCGAAGTAGGCAGTTTGATGGGCTCCAGAGAACTTAACGTGCTGCCAACACAAATAAACACACACGCACTAGGTGCCAAGCCTTCTCCCGCTCTGTGAAGAGAGAAACCCCAAGGACTCACCCGCTGGTGATGTCATCCGTCCGGATGTTCTTGCTCAGGACGTCCCCATCGCTCATGTAGCCGGGGGCGTCCACGCTGAGGCCCTCCAGGTCCATCTCGTCTCCGGCCTTGTCGGAGACGTCCACGTGGCACACGCTGCTGCCCCTGGACGCCAGCTGCCTCCTCAGAGGGGCAGGGTACACGTAGCGGCCCGACTCGGTGTTGATGAACCGGCTGGCGTTAGCTCGAGGCGGGTACCCGTTGCCCATGGAGGGGGCGTCTCCTGCTTGGAGCCGAGGGCTGGACTGGCCGAGTCTCCAGGACAGAGGTGTGGGCCTGCCCGTCAAGCTGAGGATACTGCGCCCGCTGACCTCCGTGGTGACGTTGGTGTCAAATGTGGTTTCTAATGTGCTGAACACATAAAAGCCGCCTTGGGTTAGAGCCCACTGTGCCTGGAATCCTTTGCAGTTTATATGTTTTTTAATGTTTTGAAAATCATGAATGATTCCCCGTACACAAGACAGGATCAAACACCAGGTGCCCACGGACCACACTCTGTTAGAACGGAACAGAGGAAGATGCGCACCCACACAACATTCGGGGAAGCCCAGTGAAGGCTGTTCCCACCAAAACACGGCACAAGGCACTCGTGACCATGACCTTGATTCAGTTACCGTAGCTATTGGAATCGTCTTTCTAACCCAGGAAAGGACATGGAAAATGCTGCCCTGATAGCAATGGGCACAGAGGTCCCCCGCTGGGATGCTGCCTCACAGCTCCCCCTTTCCAAGGGCAGGACGCACCTGCCCCCGTGCAGCTCCTAACACCAGACCTCCTTCCCTCAGCCCCTCCTGACCGAGCAGGCAGGGGCAGCCTTGACCTTCTAACTCTCTCAGGTTCATTCCCCCCACATGTTGGCTCCTACATTTTGCCCCAAATGACAACTAAACCTGGGGCAAAAGGCTGGAAA